TGCCGGCAGCAGTGGTGAACGCGTCATACTATCAGCGACGCTCGTCCAGGGGTCACTTGCGATACTCAGCTGCTCTTCGGGAGATTAGTGTAGGCGTAGACATTGCAGAAGAGCAAAATATCATCCTTTTGCTTTTCAATTCAATGAAGTGAAGCGAATGCTGGCCTGCCAAAATGACGTCCATCAGTCACCGCGAGGTACCCCAGGCGGAGGAAAAGGAGCCTCTAGATGCGCGTGGGTCTGCATTGACACAACCGACAGCAGACCTCCATGCGTGGGGAGATGCTCCTTTAGGAGTTAGTGGAGGCCATGGAGAGCGTTACTGGAAGCATACTGACGGTAAAGGGGACGGGTGGCGGCAAGCTAGGATGCTTCGGCGTCGAATCGGCTGGTTTTTGCTGTATGTGCTCATCCCCGCTATAATCATTTCAGTTTTGCGGGAACTGTGCCGGGCCAACCTGTCCACCTCTACCAACCGAGCTAGAGGAGTTTCGGCTCGCAGGCTGTCGGAGGGCGATGAAGGCACCCATCGAGACAGTTCTATAGAACAGCTCATAGAAGCATGTGCAGCAATAGAGGCTGACATGGGATTACCCACGCCCCAAGAAAGAACTCCAGCTCAAGAGTTGGACGCAGCTGAGCAGGTGGCAAGGATCGCCTTCTCCTTATATGCGGAAACCGTAGCATTTGAGCAAGTCATGCACCAAACGCCGCAAACAGTCCACTCCAGTTTAACCCCCTTGCCGCCTTCGCCCACCAGTTCGGGAATACATTCTCAACACCAACATTTCCACGGGTCAGTGAGTACGGCAGGCCCACAGCCTGCTGCTCAACATCCCCAACACATAACTACAGGCTTGACAACTCCAGACCTTCAGCCTGCAAGCCACCCGCATGAACCTTCGGCCTTGCCCCCGCAGTTTCTGGGTGGAGCTCCTCAGCATCTCCTGTCCGGCACCCAGCCTCTTCTACCAGAGTCATCACATCCTGCGTGGCTCCCCCAGGGTGCACTTGCGAGTTCGCAGCCGGGTTTTGCATACCCCCAGTATTTTGCGGGTCCTCAGCCTCCTGTTGGAGCCCCTCAGTCCGTCGGTTTGCCTTCTCAGGTTGCAGCGTTGCTCCCTGAGAATGCTGCACAGCGTGCCCCAAGGAAGCGAAGCTATTTAGAAGGTCCACA